AGCAAAACAAACCCAACCTCTTGGAGCCTTCAGAATAGACTGGGGTGAAGCCACCAAGAGGCAGCTGGGAAGTAGAAAGGACAGGAGAGGGGCTAGGTGTCCCCAGCAGTCTAGTCCCCAGGGAGGGTCACTATTCTTTCAAGGAAGGACTTGAAGGCCACTCCATCCCCGGCCCCATTCCTCTCCTGCTTTGCTGTTTCCAGGAGGGACCAACCTGTTGGGACAGACAGTTCACTTCCTCTGTCAGAGGAGGTCTATTCCTCCCAAGCAAAAGCCCGTCTTTCCTGCTTCACCAGGCCCCACTTCCTGCTAGAGTCTGCCCCACAAATCTGGGGGTACCACTACTGCGGAAAAATAGCCCGAGTGTGCCAATAACCACAGGGGAGTGCAACACAGTCACCCGGAGAGTGTCCACATCTTGTGAAGTCACCACGGTGCCTCAGACTTGTTGCTCCGTGGTTAACTGTCCCTCCTCACTGGTCCTGAAGGCCTCTAGGCCACCTCCTGCCCCAGAATTGTTAAGAATAAATATTCAAGAGATGGCAGCGGTGACCCACTTATTAGCAGATGCCACAGCCGCAGGGCACAGAGGCGGAGGCTGGAAGTACAGAGAGAGAGCGTGGCAGAGGAGGAGAATGTCCTTGGGAAGAGGCACCCAGTTCCAACCCGACTTGAGTCACTAGGATAGGTCAACCGCACTACTGAGGAGTGAAGGGCAAGACAGCTGCTCAAAATCGACAGTGAGGAGGTGCTCACCAAGCACAGGCACACTGTCCCAACCCCCTGAGAATGCCAACCGGACACCATGTGCAACCAACCCCCCCCCCCACCGCCGAGTTAACACCGGGCTCCAAGGACTAACAAACAGACATTCTCTGTCCCCCAACCTGTGCATTACAGCTGGATTGCTGTATAAGCAGAGCACATGGATCTGAGTCTTGGCAAGTAGGGTGATCTGGGGTTAGCAGGGCAAAAACCCCCCAAAGAGCTGGCACTGTTTGCTTCATGCTGGGACCCTGGGGAAGCCACTGTCTCTAAGTCTCTGTTCCCACTGGCACCTGCCCACCCCCTCATAAAATGAGATGATGCTGTGTACTTTACTGCCTGGCTGGGAGTCCTAACTGAGAAACCTGGAAGTCAGTGGTAACATGGACGGGAGAGGAACGGAGATCAGGAGGAACTTTCTCAAACTGGGCAGCACTGCCAGGTGGGCACATTGCTCCCTTCAGCAAGGGGGTATTTTCTCCTTGAGTGGGCCTGTTTTAGGGAGAGACCACTTGGCTAAAAAACTGGGGGCTGGCCTTTTGTTTTAAGCAACAAACAAAGGCAATTGTTGCAGTGGAAGTCAGAGCCAAGGAGGAACGGAAAAAAACATGGTCTCCTGCAGATCCAATAGACAAGACCTTGGTGAAGGCCCGGAAGGCCCCTTCCCACGCTTACCTTAGCTGAATCTACGGGTGACCATTCTCTAGGAAGAGACTTCCCCATGTTCCAACCTTCAAGGGGGTAAAGGGGAAGGAGGGCGGGAAAGATGCCCTTGGTCCGTGGGAGTGGCCAGACACCTGCAGGCTGCATCTCTGCACCAGAGCCACCTGTGCCCGAGAGGCGGATCTCCCAGCTCCCCGGGTTCAGGGTGACCTTGTCCTGTCCCAAGGCAGCTAACAAGGGGCCCCCTGCTCAACAGGGCCAGTTTGTGGCCGGGTCTCCAGCCAGGATAAGCTCTGCTTTGCCATCTGTGCTCTGGCTCAGTTGGGCCGGTGCCTGCTGGTGACCCAGCAACGCCTGCCCACCGCTGAGTGGCGGATGCCACCTGTTTTTCTGAACAAGAAGCTTTGGGCATTGAGGGAGTCCCTAGGGCTCCCTCCGGGTGTTCTTGCTGGAAGGAGGGATGGATCTGGGCAAGGGGTGGTGGTGGTGGTGGAAGGCCAGGCTGGGTGATGCCAGCCCTAGACAGTAAGAGTGCCTGAGCACTGCTCCCAGGCCTGGGGACAGGGCCCAGTCACACACCCTGTGCCCAGGGGCCCTTGGCTCCTGGGCCCTGCAGCAGAGCTGCATTCTGACTTTGTTCCCTACCACAGCCAGAGAAGCTCTGGAGAAAGAACCCCAAGGCGCTCCCCAGGAGGGAGGCAAGGTTCACTGCCTAACAGGGCTGGGGCACCTGACACTTTCTCATTTCATCCTTCAAAGGAGCAGGAGGGCTAGGGGGCGGGGCCTGAACCTCCAAGGTCAGCTGAGGCAAGAGAACTCTCATGGGCCCTAATGACAGGGCCCAGGTCACTGCCGGCTCCAGCTGTGGCAGCCGGCCCGGGGTAGCCAAAAGCTCCAGTGAGGCAGCGGGGGGCTTGGGGGACACTGCTGGCAGCACCCTGCTCTGTGACCACAGCAGGAAGGAGGAGGAGAAACTGACTCATATCAGCTGCGCCCGGGAATCACAGGAAGTGGCCGGGGGGTCGGGGGAAGAGGAATTTTCCACTTGTTATGGTCAAGGGCTTTGGAAGATGACTGGGAGCTGCTGGGAGAGAGAACTTCCTTCTTTGTATATAATCATGATGCTACACACAGGCTGGCCTCGGATAGTTAATAGCCCAGATATTCTCTCATTTTGTGTGTGCTTCTCAGGAGCATTTTTGGGGAAGAAAAAGCATCGATGGTTTCCAGAGGACTTTCTGAAAATGAAGCCACAATATAAAAGCCTGTATCTTTATCCCACAGAACATTCTGTCCCGGAATAGCAATGAAGATGCAGTTAGTACAAGGCCTTCTTAAAGATGCAGGCCAGGAGGGCAGCGTTTACCTGAGACAAAAGCACAGTCTGCACACGAGGCAGGGTGCTGCATTCCATGGACCTCCTCCACCTGCTCCCTGCCCTGTTAAACATCTCGGATCTGTAAGGTCGGATCAGCTGGTGGCGCCAGGCACACTGGCATCACCAGAAGGCATGGATGGTCTGAATGTCAGTGATAAGGACTCTCCTCCCCAGATCTAAGGAAGCTGCTTGCTAGAGTCTGGCTTTCCTTCTTCCCTTTAAGGAGAGGGAGGGTCTACAGAGAGAGCAAGCCCCCGTGCTGGGGGGGGGGGGTAAGGGGAAGCGGCAGTACAACGCTGTAAGGCAGCTTTGAAGGCGAGGTGCAGGCCTGTCTGCTCTGAGTTCCTTGGAACTGGGTAGAAGAGGGCAGGTAGAGCAAAAGCTTCAGGGCAGCCAGAAGTCGTGGGATGGGCTGGGGCAAAGTGAACCATGGGACCCACAGCCCAGAGAGCAAGTCTTCCTGCTAATGCTGCAGCCTTGGCCTCCCAGGTCTGGAGCGTTCACAGACATTGGGGGCAATTAGCTCCGTGAATTATAAGTGCAATATCTGGGAGATGAAGGCAGTAATGAATGGCTGTCTCCTTCCTGAGGGGGTTCCTTCTATTTGGTCAGAGTTATTGAGGCTCAGCAAGAGAGGCCTCCATCACATGGAAGGTTTATAGGCCCAAGGAAAGGGGCAATTTAACAAGACAATAATAATGCTTCTGCATAATTTACCAAGCAAATGGAAGCAACTAATACTCTGTACCTATTTTGCGAGTGGGTGGGGGAATGTGCCAGACAGTCTACGGACTCCAGCAGCCTCCCCGGTGAGGACCCACGGGAGGGGCTTGGCTGGTCTGGCTCCTCCCAAAGCCCCTTGGGTCTCTTCCTCCACACCCTCCTCCTGCCCACCATGCAGGGGGAGGAGAGATTCAGAAGGGCCTTAGACTTTTGCTAATGTTGTCATCTGAAGTGTGCTGAAAGGCTAAATGGCCAACAAGATCTCTAGTGTTTTGGGTCCCTAGACTGCCTCTTCTGGTTCTGGGCCAAAGGGCACCAGAAAATTAAACCTGCTATCAACTCCCCCCAGGCCTGCAGTGGGAAGATCAGAGACACAACTTCACTATAAGACAAAATGCCAAGCCATCCCTAAATGCTCAGAGGAGAAACATAGACCATTGACAAACTGATCTAGAAACAGAGAGGAAACAGATCTCTGTGGTCTAGGCCTAAGCACTAGGGTGGGAAGGGAAAGGCAGTGACTCTTAGGGTTATCAAGTCCAGACAGTAGGCAAAGCCTTGTGGAAGCCTTTGCCAGGATGGGAACGACCAAGTCAAGAGGTCTCCGCTAGAAAGGCTTGGCTCTCTGTTCTGGCCTCCGCTTCCCTCTTCCGAACAGCTCAGTAGCCACAGGTCAAATTGTATTGTCCAGCATACCCTGCACACAGCACACCCTCAAGTTGTATCGCCCAGCACACACCTCTGCCCAGGGCTGCGGAGGACCAAGAGGAGACAGAAAAGGTATTAATAGATGCTGCAAAAGCCGAAGGGAAGCATTTCTGCTCCCCATCCCTGAAGCAGGCAGAGATAAACAACTACCTCTGATATTGTTGTGTCTTATTGCCGAGGCCCGTCTGGCTTATTATTTAGCTCCACCCCAACCACACCAAGACGAAGCCTGGAGATTCATCTTCTTTAGACCACAGGGAGGTGGGGAGACAGGAGGAGGGCTGGGCTGATCCCTCCCTGTCTGCAGAGCTTGTCTGTGGTCAGGATCAAACTGTAAGATGAATTAGTCCGTGTGTGTGTGTGTGTGTGTGTGTGTGTGTGTGTGTGTGTGTGTGTGTGTGTGTGTGTGTGTGTGTGTGTGTGTGTGATTAAGACACAGAAGTCCGTGTGTGTGTATGTGTGTGTGTGTGTGTGTGTGTTAAGATTAAGACACAGAAGTCTCTGGAAAGTGAGATCTGGAAGGCACTCTCAGGGCTTTGCATAGTGCCCCTCAAACCCTGAGCTAAATCCACAACAGCCCACAGTCCTCGCAGATGCTAACCCCAAACCACGTCTGAGTTTGAGGCCTGCTCGTCAGGACACTGGAGACTGTCTCTGTGATACCATTTTCTGCGAGGGCGGCAGTGTAGAGGGGTACAGGCCCTCCTTTCTGAAGACAGCGTTCAACCAGAGGAAAGATGGGTCAGACATCCCCGGCACTCACCAGGTAGATGCGGTAGGCGTCTATTCTGCGCAGGGGCCCCCAGCACAGATCAGTGTCGTTGGATTTAGTGTCTTTCTCCACGTCACACGAGTCATTTCCAGCAGCACTGCTGAGAAAGCAAAGATGGACTCAGACTTGGGGCGGCTCTCTATTTCATGGGAAGTCACTCCCCATACTCATACAGGGCTTCTGTGCCAGCACCATTTCCCAGTGACTCAGGGCCCTTGATGGGACTCTAAGCCATCCCTAACATGGCAGGGAGGGACAGCAGTCAGAGAACACGCGGTTAAAGACAGACAGCATGGCTGGCTGTGGTGTGTGTAAGACAGGGCCTTTGGTGTTCTCATTCCTCAGGCCAAATGCACGGCCCTCTGCTTGTACACTGGACCCTCTGCCCTGGCTGGCCAGCACAGTCTGGGTGCTTGCGGGGTGTACTCACCACGTCACCTGCATGAGGGAGAAGGGCACAGCTGCGGCATAGATGGCCAGGTCCCCGTACAGGTAAATGATGATGCAGAAATAGAATAAGTTGACCCCCACTGAAAGCAACAAAGCCATGAGTTAGGGAGCCAGAAAGAGGTGCTGGTGTTCTGTTTTGATGATTAAACCTTTTCCCCTTTCCTAGCTTTCAGTTCTCCGAGCCTTGTGCTTTCTACAAAAGGGGGAAAAATGACCCTGAAGTCCTGTTTCTTATTCTGGCTGGTCAGAAAGGTTCCAAATTTAGGAAGAGAGAGAGAGAGAATGTGTGTGTGTGTGTGTGTGTGTGAAAGTATACGTGTGTGCAGTCTGAACTCAGGGCCTCACACTTGCTAGGCAGGCATGCTACCACTTGAGCCGTGTACCCAGCCCAATTCAGATCTAGATGAGTATGAGGTCCCAGGAGGAATGGGAGGCCCCTTCACACTAGGTTTGGCTGTGTGGAAGAGAAGGAGAGACATGCTGAGTCAGAAGCATGGCCCCCCAGAGCACTAGGACCAGAGCCCCTTCTGAACCAAGGAATGGCTCTGAGACAGATTGCTAGTAATAAACCGAAGCACAAGCTGGGTGCCAGTGGCTCAGACCTGTAATACCAGCTACTCAGGAGGCTGAGATCTGAGGATCCTGGTTTAAGGCTAGCCCGGAGAAGAAAGCTACCAATCTTTTTTTGGGGGGGGTCTGGTTGTAGGGCCTGGACTCTGGGCCTAGGCGCTGTCCCTTACCTCTTCAGCTCAAGGCTAGCTCTCTACCACTTGAGCCACAGCGCCACTTCCGGCTTTTTTCTTTTTGCTTATGTGGTGCTGAGGAATCGAATCCAGGGCCTCAGGCATGCAAGGCAAGTGCTTTACCACTGAGCCACCTTCCCAGCCCAAAGCTAGCAATCTTATCTCTAACTAACCAGCAAAAAGCTGCAGCTCAAGTGGTGCTAGCTTTGAGCACGAATGCTTAGGGACTGCACCCAGGCCCTGAGTTCAAGCTCTAGTATTAGTACATATGCATGTGCATGCACACACATACACACACCCAAAGCACAGAAGAGCTGGTAGAAATGGAGCAGCACACTGAGGCTGTAACTGAGAGTGTGAAAAGCCTTTCATTCCCAAGGATCCTGAACTCAGACTTGAACTCCACTGAATCTGATATACCACCCAGCACCTGGAGGCCCAGGGTGGCCTGTGTGCTGTGGAGACACAGTGCTCGGGACAGCTTCCCCTTTCCTTCCTTCGAGAAGAGCCAGTGAGGGACAGCTGGCTCTGGAGGGTGCACTACGCCATCAAGCTCCCTGTGCAGAGGCTAACCTTCATCTGCTCGCTGCAGAAGCAGCTTGCACTAGGAGCCAGAAACATAGGGCTCTTGTCCTAATTCTATCAGACAGGTTTCTCCACTCTGACAGGTCCCTGAACATCTCTTATCTTGTATGATGAGAAGAATTCCACCTGCACCATCTTCTGTTTGTGACTCTAGTTATAAGGATTGGGACAGAGGCTCTGAAAACAGCAGCCAGGCTCAACAACCTAAGGGTTATAGCCCCGGACAGCCACTCTCCAACTCCTGCTCAGAGGAATTACTCAAGTTTTGGTTGTCACTTGGTCTCAAGTGGCTGTTTTCTCTGAGAACAGAAAGAAAAATGAAGTGACAGTTCCCTTCTAATCCTGGTGGCTCAGAAGAGCCTTCGGGATCCCCAGGGGAAAGCTTGGGATGTGTCACTCCTGGGTTATCTGAGGTCAGTTCTGCTCTTAGGAATCTAGGGGGGAAAAATCAGGAAAACATGCCAGAGGGCCTGGCACCTGCTTGTTTGAACATGCTGCCTGGAATGTCCTTACCTGACATGCTAGAAATGGCCTTGACGTCCAAGTTCAGTGGCCCATGGGGCTGTCCGTCACTCATGCCCCAGACTCTGGGTGCATATCCAGTTTGCCTTTCTGCTCTCTGTGAGGAGGCACTGTCCCTTCCCTACTGTTTTCCCGCCACCTGCCAACAGCTCCAGTGTCAGCTGTTTATAAACTGCCTTCAGCCCTCCCTGATCAATAAAATTTCATTACTAGACACAAAGTAGGAAAATCGATGTACTTCCTGAGAGGACATCAATGACTAGGCCTGGCATTTGTAATTACAAGAAATGACTGGGGACCCCAGAGGAGCCCTTTGTGGAGGCCAAAGGTGACAATTTGGCAATCTGGGTTATGAACAGGGCAGAGTATGAGTCTATACACCATCTCCTACTGGATACAACTGGCCATATCTGAAGAGTTTTGACTGCCACCAGCAAGAGGCACTATATAGCCCACAATGTCTAGGACAGGACCACCCTCACACACAAACACCAACTCCACCACAATGAAGAGTTATCTAGCCCAATATCACCAGTGCAGAGCTTGAAGAACTCTGCCAGAGATAGCAAAGAAGCTCCTGTAAGTGTGGGGCTGCCACCACAAAATGTGCCACTTCCTTTTAGATGTGGGTAAGCTGGGAGTCTGCTCCATGGGGGAGAAAAGACAAAGCAAAGCACTAGTTCCTAGAATTCTTACAGAAACCAGGGCAGACGGCAGAACGTAAGGATGAGAAAGCAGGCTTAAAGGTGCGCATGCTCCCTCTAATGTGCACCTCATCTTCCAAGCCTGCACTTGGAAGGGGGCTCTGCAGGGCTGTCAGGAGGAAACACTTTCACCCTCTTGGTCTAGTGGATGGGAAGTGATGGAAACAGAACAAAAGAAAGGCACAGAGGTCTGGCTGAACATAGCCAAGTTGTTTTTGATGAATTCTGGAAATCCTCTATGAGGCTGATTCCAAGAGGGAGAAAAGTCAGGTAGAGCCGAGCCTTGGACAGCCTGTGCCAATAATCATTTCTGGATGGACCATCAAATCACACCACTGGTGACAAACTGAGTGGCTAGCCAGTTTCTGCAGTCCCCCCTACCTCTAAGTGAAGTACAGCCATACTCAAGACCGGGAATGACCCAGGGCAATTCCCCACTCAGCACACTGGGGACTTGATGGAGGGGCAGAATGTTTTCTGAGACAGCCATACGAGAAAGCCCTTGCTAAGATTCTGCTTGATTCTCAAGGAAGCAGAAACAGGTAAGTCTGGGCATTAAAAACTAAACTCTTACACAGGTGGTCTTCTAAAAAAACAAGACTGTCCATAGTTACACGATGCTACCTATGGCTGGCAGACCCATCCACCTGACGCTAGTGGATCCTTGCAAGCTGTAGTCAAATGCCAGCCAGGAGCAGGCAGAGACGGGAGGCAGCCAACGTGTCATCTCTGCTCTCCAGGGCTCCATGCCCATATGGCAGCCATAGCCTGTGCGCCTAACGCCCTCTGCTGGCTACTTGGAGTACACATCCAGGCGTGCCCACGGCACATCCTACCATATAGTCCGAGGCTACTGCCTTGGAAGACAGCCAAGTCAGAAGCAATCAACAAGACGCACAAAACTCTCCGATGCCCCCCTGGGCTTCCTTCTTTGGAAAGTGACCCAGGACTCTTGGCCCCCATTAGCTACTTCTTTATTCATAGCATGGGCAGAGGAAAAAAACAACCAACAGAACAAGGCAGGCTTCTCAGCAGGTAGATCAGCTGCTTCCCTCCTCCCCCCTGACCTGGGGAGGAGGCAGGGTACAGGGGACTCATTACATAGGCCCAGTATGCAAGGAAGGTTTAACTGGCCCTTTCTCCGTGCCCCAGCCCAGAGCAAGCCTTACCTTTATTGAAGAACATAGAGGCCATCTGTCCCATCTCCACACGGTCTGTGATTTCAAAAAGGTTGGGAGATGCACGTCTCTCTGTGGGATAGAAAGAACATGGAGGGAAATGGCCTTCAGTGGAAGGGTTCCCAGAGGTGCTGCTGAGCTCTGGAAATTCCTCTTGATTAAGGGAACTCCCAAAGGGCTTAAACTCTTGAGAAAACTCCCTAATGATAACTGTTTCAAGCATTTTGAGTCCTTTTTTGTTTGGGATGGTGTGTGTGCTGAGGCTGGAACTCAGGGCTTTGGCACATGCTAGACAAACAATCCACTACTAGCCACACTTCCAGATGCCCTCCATTCTCCCCCCCTCCCCCCCACATATTTTTCCTCTTTCTGGTGGCAGGGATTGAACTGGGGGCTTCTTACTTGTTCAGCTTGCTTGCTCAGCTTGCACTCTACTGCTTAAGCCATGCCTCCATCTTGGCTTCTTTGCTAGTTAATTGGAGATGGAATCTCAAGAGCTGTTCTGCCTTGGCTGGCTTTGAACCACAATCCTCTGGCTCTCCATCTCATTACGAGTAGCTAGGATTACAGGGATAGCCACCAGTGACTGGCTTCCTGATCCATATTTTAAAAGAGGATTCAGGGATGTTCCTTACGGGATGAGAGGGAGATTGGGTACCCTAGGCCTTGGCCTGGCTGGAGCAGCAAGGAGACAGTATGCATGAGGGGTGGGTGGGAGGATGAAGCCAGACAGCCATATTGACCCCAGTGGGAACAGTGCATAGAACAGGGCATTCCATCCTTTCAAAACTGAGGCGCCCAGAGTTCAAATAATATGGTAAAATAAAACATTAGTAAGAGGCAGATCCAGCAAGGGCCAGGCCAGGCCTGGGCACCCTGTACTTTATTTACTTCCCCCTGATGCCTTTCTCAAAGCTGAGCCATAAGCAGGAAATGCCGGAGATGTCTGTGAGGAGACTTTCCCCGGGCCTTCTCCATACAGAGGAGCCACAGGGAAGCATGCCCCCCCCCCCAGCAGCCCAAGACTTACGCACAGACAGGATGGGCCGTTTCTCTGCCCGCTCGTAGTTGTCCTGGCTAAGGACATCACTGTCCGAGGCCGTGGAGGAGTCCTCGTCATCTTCCTCCTGGCAGGCAGAGCGTTGGATGAGGAGGAGAAACACACGGGAAGTGCATAACATACAGCCCTACAGAACCCCAGGCAATGGGGCGTCCATCACCTTCACCCTTTCTTTTCAGCTTTCTGATTAGGAAGCTTTCAACGTGTCTGTATTGTCACATTAGAAGAGTCCTGGGGACAAAGGTTCAAAATGACCAAGAGAGCCAGGAGGGAGTGTGAGGGCCTACGGCTGCGATGCTAAGACATAAGTCCCTGCATTTGTTCTCCAAGCTTCGCTGCCTACTAAGCTACAGCTCTGGGACAGGATGGAGCTCTTCAGGAACAGGGAGGAAGAACAGGCTGCTGAGAATGTCTTGGGGGCACAAGTGACTGGAGGCCCTGAAAGGAGACAAGGGGGGCACACACCTTGTGGGTTTCCATCCTCTTCCAGCGGAGCTGTGCGTTGGCTGCGGCCATAGCCTCCATCACAAAGGTGGTCGTTACAAAGCTGAAGGGAAGGCATATGTTAATTGCAGGGAGATTACAGGAGGTACAATGTGATCCAACGAACAACCAACCTACAGCATTATCTCTTCTGAAAGCTTTCCCCAGAGAAATTCTGGGAGGGGACTTTTTACTGTCACTGGCTACATTTAGAGTATATTTTGTGATACACACAAGAAGGGCGTATGCAGTAAGCTGAGGACAGGGATGCTACTCAAGGGGGAACGTAAGCTGAAGTTAAAGTGACACAGGACAATGTCCAGAAGTGGCCTGCTGGGCCAACACTAATGGTGCTCTGAGTTGGGAGGGGAGGCTGATACACAAGGGCTTTCCAGAGCTTCTGGAAGGATAGCAGGCACCTTTCATCTCTCTCTGCTAGGACACACAAAAGTGGCCAACTCCCGATTATAGACACCAATGCAGCATGGATAACTGAACTGGACAGCAGTTCAGAATCCACCCTATTTCCTTTGGCATCACTTTGCCTTTTGGAATAATCTGGCTAAAATACGTTTATAGTACTCTGGCCCAAACCTAAAAGGAAGCTGGGAGGGAGCAGACACTTTGCCACGATGAAGAGAAAAAAATCTTTACTTCCTGTTACAGAACAGTAGGCTAGGCACTGGTGGCTCACACTGTAATCCAGGAGGCTGAGACCTGAGGATAGTGGTTTAAAGCTGGCCCCAGCAGGAAAGTCTGTGAAATCCTTATCCTGAAGTAGAGCTGTGCTCAATGTGGTAGAACCCTAGCTTTGATCAAAAGAGCTCAGGGACAGCATCTGGGCCCTGAGTTCAAGCCCCATGACCAAAAACAAACCAAAAAAGAAAACAGTAGCAGCCAGACCACACAAGGCTCTAGTTAATGGGAGATACAATGCTGCTGGCCTGCAGATGAAACCTAAGGCCTGAGTCTATCCTTGCCACAAAACTTAACTTGGGATGAACATCTATCTGCCTCTTTTTCCAGGCCAGTCTGCCTCTGGCCCCATGCCCTCAAGTGCTGATCATAGCTGAGTGATCCTTCAGTCCTGTAGTGGGACGGAAGGTGGGCGAGGAGCTACTAGAAGCCACAGAGCCCCACCCCTACCCCTCCCAGAGCAGGGTTTGGGCAGACAGACCTAAGTGTCCAGTCCAATCGCTTTGGCCCTGCCAAGAAAGGCTTCTCATTATCTTGCCTAACTGACCATTTTAAGGGCTTTACGTTTTCCCTTCTTTTTGGAAGTGAAACCAAAATCGATCTTAATTAAGGTATAAAGAGATGGCTCATGGTTCCACAAAGCCAGCTCATTGATCATGTTTAAACACAAATGAGTCTAGCAAAAAGAGGGGGCATGCTATCCTACCTGGGCCCCTCAATAATCACTTCCCATTCAGAAGGCTGAAGGTCCTCTAAAGGGGACAGACAGTCACATAAGGACAAGGACATCCTGAGTTCTTACCAGCCAGAGCCTGATATGGATTGTGAGACAACAGTACTCCAAAGCTCACCCGAGCCCCCCAAATGAAAGGCATGAATGGGAACCTTAGGTGTCTTTCTAGTCCATGCCATGCTCTCTTTTGGGTCTTACTTGCTGTAACTATTCAGCTCCGTTTCATTCTGCCTATGGTGCTCATGCCCTTTTCCTTCAAACTTTCGCTCCAGTTTCCCCCCCCCCCATGACCTCTGGCCTGAACTTAAACCTACAGTCACCTCCACCTCCCTGCTCTGCCATGCTCCTATTTTGATATTGCCTGGCACCTTCAATTTCCTTCATTACCTGCCCCCATAAGAGACTGGCAAGTCTTCAAGGTGGGGGAAACTTTGCTTTATTCAATAAAGCACCCCAGCTCAGCGCTGATGGCTCATCCCTGTAATTTTAGCTACTCAAGAAGCTAAGATCTGGGGCTGGGAAGGTGGCTCAGTGGCAGAGTGCTTGCCTTGCACACATGAGGCCCTAGGTTCCATTCCTCAGCACCACGTAAGCAGAAAAAGCCAGAAGTAACACCGTGGCTCAAGTGGTAGAGCGCTAGCCTTGAGCTGAAGAGCTGAGGGACAGCGCCCAGGCACAGAGTTCAGGCCCCACGACTGACAAAAAAACAAAAACAAAAAAAAGCTGAGATCTAAAGATACCAATTTGAAGCCAGCCTGGGGAAGACAAATCTCAGAGACTCTAATCTCTAATTGACCAGAAGTGAAGGTGTGTGGCTTAAATGATAGAGCATTAGCCTTGAGTGTAAAAGCTAAGGGAGAGTGCAAGACTCCAATACCATCACACACACACACACATACACACACACACACACACACACACACACATACCAACGACAACAATAAACAAACAACACCAGAAAATACCACGATGGTGGCTAGTGTGGAGAGAGGTGGGGCCTCTTTTAAAGGAAGTGCTCCTTGGAGGTGTCTCCAGGGGTCCCTTACCATCTCTTTTATGGGGACTTCTGGTTGTGAGGTTCAGGGTGCTGGGCGTGACTAGTCCTAAATCTCTGCTTCACAAAGCCACTTATGAAGAACTTCAAGAGTCTGTCCAGCACGGACTAGAACTCCTCCCCCCATACCTGGCTCCTAGAGCCTCCCCGATGGCCCAGGGACGGTCCTTAAGGGACCAGTTGTTACGTGACTCACTGCATGTGTATGTGTAATGTGTGTTTACCATTTACTTGGTGAATCATCTTAAGTAAATTCTAAATTCCAAACTGATTTCTCAGATCAGTTAATGTTTGCTGGATTCTAGCTAGTGGTGTTTTCTCAGAGAGCCAGGCGTGATGGCTAAAGTAATAAAATGTAGAGCAGAGAAGGTGCATCTGCAGAGGTGAGGCAGCCAGCACTGCGTAAAACACACCAAGGCACCGTCCAGTGTCTCGGCCTGACTGCTCAGGGTTGGGCATCGGCCCATTAGCAGGAGGCACAGGAGACCAGGGATCTATTTCCCTTCCTCTAGGGACACCCAGCTTGGGACCTACATATAAGGTAGAAAGCCTGGGTGCTGGTGGCTCACACCTCTAATCCTAGCTACTTAGGAGGCTGAGGATCATGGTTCGAAGTAAGCCAGGGCAGGAAAGTCCGTGAGACTTTTCTCTCCAATAAACCACCAGAAAAGCAGAAGTAGCGCTGTGGCTCAAAGTGGAAGAGTGCTAGCCTTGAGCAAAAGAGCTCAGGGACAGTGCTTAGGCCAGGAGTTCAAGCCCCACAACTGATTTAAAAAAAAAAAAAAAAGAAAGGTAGAAAGCCATTTTCCCACCTCCCATGGGATAGCCTGCAGGCACCTCTTACCTCATGAAGCCCAGGAACACCAGCAGGATGAGGCTCACAAGCCACCCAGCAGTGGCGAAGGCTTTGGGCATGGTGAGCGCGCCAGTGCCCACGATGAGGTTAAACATGTACACCAGCCCAACCTGGAACCAACAGGAGTGACATCTAAGTCCAGAAATTAATCAACCTACCCCTCAATAGATCAGCGAGTGGCCAAGAGTACATGTTAGGGTACAGATTTGGGTTAGGATATGTGGGAGTATGGGTTAGGGTCCATGTTAGTGTGTGGGTTAGGGTTTGTGTTAAGGTTATGGTTGGGGCAGCATTGGATGAGGTTAGGGTTAGGATTTGGTTATGTGTTAGGGTTGGGGTTAGGGGTTAGGGATTGGGACAGCGTACCCTCATAGCACTTCCTAGACCTTTAACAAGGAGGCAGGCAAGGAGGGAGAGGGGCACCAAGGTACTAAGGAGCCAGGCTCCTTAGGAGGGGTCAGTGGTATTCAGGTATCAAAGCCATGGGATCTTTGAGTTCTAGTCTCCACTTCCACTGTCATCCTTTTCAACCACACCGACCTCCAAGGAACTTCTCTGAGACTGCCTGTCACATGACTCAACCTCCTCCCTTCCTTGCCCTTTGGGTCACTGACAGTCACGCTCCCTTAACTTTATCCCTTACCCTATACCAACTTCACGGCTTAAAAAAATGGAAACAGGTTGGGCACTGATGGCTCAGGCCTGTAACCTTAGCTATTTCAGAGGCTGAGATCTGAGGATCCTGGTTCAAAGCCAGTCCCAACAGAAAAGAATCTAACCAGCAAAAAAGTAGAAAGTGGAGGTATGGCTCATGGGAGAGTGCCAGCTGTGAGCCAAAAAGCCAACTGAGAATGCGAGGCTCTGAGTTCAAGTCCCACTACTGGCATATAACTGAAACAGAATTCACATGCCAGCAATTTTTCTCAGCACACAATGTAATGGGTTTAGGACACAATGTAGTGGGTTTTAGTAACACAAGGTTGTACAACTGGCCCTACCACCTAATTCTATTTTATTGCCCCTTGAAGAAGCCCCATTTCCACTAGCAGTTACTCTGGCACCCATCCCACCACAAACCTTAGGGTGATGTGTCCGGTCACTGACTCCCAGTTTCAAATTTAAGTCTAACTTGGCCGCCTCGACCTTAGCTCAGTTAATTAGGACTATTTCTTTTGCCAAGATCTCAGCTATAAAACTGTTCTCTGATTTGAACCCCAACTCTAGAGCCCATGGACATAGAAGAAAAAGAGCTAAGCAACCCAAAGACAGCGAGGGGAAGGGAGAAATGAGAGGGAAAGAGGGAATAATAGCCTACACTAAGCAAAAGGAAATGTAAACATCACCTGAGGCGGGAAAAATAATTTGTATTGTCAGAGCTCATAGAATTCACAAACAATGATAATTTGCCTTGTGAAGGTTAAAATGTATTTGTGACTTTAACTAAGTATCAGTATTCCACAATACTGTGAAATATGTGAAATTTATGCAATCATCTATCTCAATTTTTAAAAAAAAGTGGGAGAAGGGAAGGGTTAGGAGGGATGGGTGACAATACTGTCAGACACTTGTATTCATATACTGTTTTGTAGAATGGGAACTTCTTGTACATTTACTTAAAGACAATAATAATTTTTTTAAGTTAAAAAATTAGGACTATTTCTTTTGTCAAGATCTCAGCTATAAAACTATTCTCTAACTTGAACCCCAACTCGAGTATCCATGCCTCCACTGCCTCCAGACACCTCTACCTTTCTACTTCTCCAGCCAGAAGCCTATTCCCACGGGGCACCAGTTGCCTTCATTTCTTGATGGGAAGTCGGTGGACTATAAAGAGTGTGCGCAGCCTGAGTCTCCCTCATCCTCCCCCCTCCCATTCTAACCTATTCGCTACTCTGCCTAGGACAAGGCCTACTCTCCTCCCTTCATGAGCCAGAGCTACCAAAGGCTCCCGATACGTTTTCTTTGGAGCCAGAAGATGGTCACACAACAAATGAGGGAGTCTTTCACTTGGGTATGGCTGCATCCAATTATACTTATTCTGGACATGGCCCCTAGCAGTTCCCATAGTAACTGCTCCAAAGCTCATTCTTCAAGCTCCCAGATGTCACCTCCATCTCCTATTTGATTGAGGTGCTGAGGCCACGTGATGTGTGTACCCAAAGCCATGCTCCTGCCTCTGTCAAAAGATCACAGCGCCAGCTTCCTCTCTTTGAGGAACACATGTTCTTCTTCCTTGGTTAGGCCCAGCTTGTGCCTGGACTTCTGAACTCATTCCAACCTGCAAATCTCTCTTTCCACTAGCTCTACCCCTCTGCCTACAAACTCCTTGACACCTTAAAACATAACCCTTCCTTGCTAGGTGCTGGTGGCTCAAGCCTGTAATCCTAGCTATTTAGGAGGCTGAGATCTGAGGCGTACAGTGCAATGTTTTATGGGGAAATTAAATAGTACAAGAGGAATTTTCAACTTTGGAAAACTTTGGAAAAATTAGAGCGTGAAAGTTCAAGGGCCTATAATAGATCAGGGGGTCTCGGTCTGGACATTGTTGACATTTGAGGTCTTTTGGAGTGTGTGTGTGTGTGGGGGGGGTCATCTAGGTATTTTAGGATGTTTAGCAACAAACCTGACCTCTGGCTGCTGACAGTGGTTGCTGACAGCCACACAGTCATTCTACCAATGGTGTCTCTGAACTTTGCCAAATGTCTCCTGCGAGGCAAGCTCTTCACCATCTGTGAACCACTGCTGGAGTAGGCGTCCACAGGAATCTCAAATAAATCTTAGTGAGGAAGAAGCTTTAACAACTTCATAGACAAGTTAATTATGGATAAGCTCTTGGAAGTTGGAAGAAGAAATGGGTAGTCATGTTTGCCTTGTTTCGTGGTGATTTTTTAGTTCCAAAGCGAGCACTGTGTACCCATGCAGGATAAGGCATGACTTCTTTGCCTTCCGGAAAGCCTCAGCAGTCCAGGAGAGCATTAAATCCTCTTTATCTTCAGTAAAAGTACACAGTAAGGACAGGTCAATCACAAGATGTAGATAAGCGGAGTACCTCTGAGTCTAGCCACAGGCTGAGTCAAGAGGAGCTATGGGGAAGGAAGGAGAGGAAGGAGGCATTGTCCTCCGCAGGTCATATGACAGCTCTAAGGGGCCAGCCTCCTAGAAGGGCAGCCGGAAGTAGAGGAATAAGGCCCCTGTTGCAAAGACTGGACTCTAGTGCTTTCTCAGCAAGAACAAGTTCTTGAGTTTAATCTCTAGTACTAGGAGGGGAAAAGATTCTTAGTCTCCATAGACAAAACCCATGCATGCAAGCTGAACAGCTTCCTCTAATTCTCCACTCTTCCTCTGTGGTGAAGGTACAGCTTCCTGCTTCCTAGGACACTGCCCTGGCCCCTCTGCTCTAGGAAGCTCAGTGTAGCACTCCATTTGCCTCAACTTCAACCCAGCAACCTATGCCAGATATCACCAGCTTCTTTCTGGGCACATCTCCACAGCCAGGTACAAGCACCAGACAGGATCTAAGGCTGTGAAGTCAGTGCCCTTTCTGTCAAACTCAACAGCAATGATTTTCCACAAAACTAGCCAGCAGATCTTGTATCTTGTATCCTGATCACAGTCACCACCTTAATCTCAACTACCTCTGGTCCCCCAAATGAGGACACATGCCAGTCCTGGGTCACTCATGGTGACACAGGCAGGCCTGAATGACATTCTTATGTTTATCACTTCCCTTGAGAAAGTACTGATTGGCTATTCCAAAGACTTTATGCAGAATAAGGTAGATAAGCAAACATCTACTCCTGCAAGGGAAAAGAATTCCCCCTGGGGTAAATTGGCTAAGAGAAGTCTGTTTCAGGCTGAGGTGTACAAGCCCATCAGTGAGGGCTGATGTACTTTTATGAATTGACACCCAGTATCTTAGTCTTTCAAGCAGATGAGGCAATGTTCTGTCTTCATTGTGCTATGCCGACGCCTATAGTAGATTCTGGGAAGTCAGCTCTGCTGGGTGGTGGGCACACGGGATGATAAACCCTTTAGGTCTCACAGGAAATCAAGAATCATTCTCCCAGGATAGTAGATTAAGATGTCCTTAGGTCAGCTGTCAGTAGCTCATGCTTGTAATCCTAGCTACCTCAGAAGGCTGAGATATGAGGATCATGGTTCAAAGCTAGCCCAGGCAGAAAAATCAGATAGACTCTTATCTCTAATTAACCAGCAAAAAGCTAGAAGTAGAGCTGTGGTTCAAGTGGTAGAGCATTCCCATTGAGCAACAAAAGCTAAGGGACAGCCCCCAGGCCCTGAGTTCAAGCCCCAATACTAGCACCAGAAAAACAAACAAACAAAAACCCAACTTAGATAAAAATGTTTTATCCTCTCAAAGCTCTAACCATTTACCTCCTGGCTAACACCACCTCATCCCCACCAGTATGTACTTTTCCTACATCTTTCCTCACCCATAGAATGAAAAGAAAGCAATTGACTGTGACAATCATCTTCCTACATAGCAAAAGAAGAAAGCTGTTGATTGTGATATATGCCTAGAGGTGGCCCTTGCACAAAGATCCTTAACCAAATGAAACACAAAGGAATGGAGGCAAAAAGAAAAAAGCAGAGCAGAAGCTTATAGGCCCAATGGCCTGAGCTCCTGTGGGCACAGGCTAACCTATGAAATGACTACTTGAATGACTAGAGACACAAGAAATGGGAGAATATCCAAGTGTTTTCCTTTAGAAACACAGTTTTTAAAATGACTCATTTCCTCATTTCTAAGTTTGTGGATATTTCAAGGAAAAGCAGAAACCATGGTGACTTTTAGGGGCAGCATAAATATTTTATTTGCTGATATGGGAGGCTGAGAGCCATTACATGATTCATCAAACAAGACATACACTCATTCCATTCCATTCCATTCCATTTCATTCTATTCCAGGGTTTACAAGAGACTTTCCCTGTCTCATTACAGAGGGGAAGGAGGCTCCTCATTGCTGTACTTGAATGGTACTGGCCCAACAGGAAGATTTCTTCTAGCTGTTCTCAGAAGCATTTTTTTTTTTAATCTATCACACTGTAATGCTAGATTTTTTTTTTCCCCCTGGTAATGGAGCCTGGACATGGTTTCTTAGCTTTTTTGATCAAGGCTAGGGCTCTACTACTTAAATGGAGCCATAGGTCCATTTCCAGTTTTTTGATGGTTAGAGATCAACACATAGACTTTTCTGCGTAGGCTGGCTTCCAACTGTGATCCTCAAATCTCAGCTTCTGGAGTAGCTAGAATTAATTACAGGCATGAAGTACCAGTGTCTAACTACAATTCTACAATTTGCAGCACCACTAGAAAACAAAGAAGAGATTCCCCACACTAGAAAGATGGGGGTGTAAAGCATAGCAGTTGTTTAAGGCAGGTAAATTCCAGAAAGAGGCTACCTGAAGCAGTGATGCCTTTCTCTATGATACTTAGTAGTAATGTGAGTCCAATGTCTTGATTATTCAAATGATTATCTTTAACCCGGCAAGAAGATTCTGTGATGTAACCATGACCAACTGGATATTACCAGAAGATAAACTGAGTGTGTGGGGTGAGGGAGTGAGAGGTAATACAGATTCACATAGAAGTCAATCATTCTAATTGTCCTAATTGCAGACTCCACCAAACTGCAATTGCAAGTCTCTGTTTCACTAACTCTTTCACCATCCAAGACCATAAAAGTTGTGCAACTTAAAAAACTCAGCTGAAGACCAAAGAAGTTTCAAACTTCTGAGATGAGTAAAATCCCAAGTCAACAGCTGTCAATTACTGTCCATGGGAAAGGCAGCATCATATGCAAGTGTAGCCGCTGGAGATAAATATTATCAAGAGTTAGCAAGTTCATTTTGTCTCTCTGCTCTCTGATAATCATCTGAAAAGAAAATAAACTTTATCCTCATGTTCTAAAACATGACAGCAGCAATGTGGCTCTAAGGGTCAGAGCCCACCCTGTTTTTTGTTTGTTTACCAGAATCGACATACACCAGCATGATACACCCCTCAGGAGGAAGTGCACATCCCTAGAAGCCAAAAGCACTGTGGCAAGCAAACCAGATGGAAAAGTAACACTCACATAGGGAGAATAGAGCTCTCCAGTGTCGGTGATTTCACCCGCCATCTCCAGAAAGTGGGGAAGGGTGGATAGCAGCAGAAGTGCCTTCAGTGCAGGGCCGGGGGCTGCTGTGGCTCCCTAAGACAAAAGGATAGACGTTAGCTGTCTGATGCGCCGAGATGGGGGTGGGGAGGGAGGGCAGCGTGCGGGCTCCCCACACCTTCATTCTGGTCCTTTTGGTCCCAAGTACTTCCTCCTCAATACCTGCCACCAGACTCAGCCCTGCGGGAAGGGTCTCCCCGGGAAAATGGAAATCTGGGAAATGTCTTCTAATTTTTCTCTTGCTGAACAAGGTACTGACCTGTGCCTAGATGTTGCTCGGACTCATTTCAGGTGACCCCGAAGCCACCGAGTCCCACCCACCACCAGAGCCCCCTCTACACTTTGGGGTGCTATGTCCCCTTGGTTCCAGGCTGCGAGCTGGCTGCCACTCAGCACGGTTCCGGGGGCTGAGGCTTTCCTGGGTCACCCCCCAAATCCACTCCTCGCCCCCCAGGGCCTCTCTTTTGTAACCGGGCCTCCACTCCCCGTGCGCTCACCTGCCAAGCTTGCTTAAGTTAGGGCTCCCCACCCTCAGTTCTCAAGATCCTCGGAACCTCCCCCTCGCCTTCCCTCCCGGAGAAGCCCCAGCTGTCGCGCCCTGCTCCATCCCGTCTCACCCTTCTTCCCGGCCCAACACCTGCAGCACAGCTCGCTCCCGGCCACCTCGGCCGCCGCCGCCTCCACCGCCAGCTCCTCAGCTGGTGCCAGCGCCAGCGGTCCTGCACCGGCACCCGCAGCGCGCATGCGCCGACGCTAGAGCCCACTTTCCCGACGCGCTCCTCGGGCGGGGCGCAGCGCGCTGATTGGACGCCTCGCAGGGGCGGGGCCTGGATTGAGCCGGGAGGCCGCCGTCTGCGTGGCGGAAGTGGGCGGTGCGCATCTCTGCGCAGGCGCGAAGGGTGGCTGCCGGCCTGTGGTGGAAGCGTGGCTGTCTGGGAGAGGTGGAAGGCCAGTTCTGTTGCCAACACTTGCTTCTGCGGGGCATAGGCGTGAGCTTGGCAGTTCCTGGGTCCCGGGAGGGACTAAAGCACCACGCAAGAGGGAGGGGCCTGAGAACTCAAGAGTGGGCCGGAGGACCGGACTTGGGGGCAGGAAGAGGAAGGGCGTGAAGGTTTGGAATAGGCTGAAAGTTGTTTCTGGGCACATTGAGGATGAACCGTGGCTTTTTGGTGCTTGACTTTGATGGACTGATGTTCTCGGGAATACACAGAACAGACAGGAATGGCAGTCCAAACGGGGCCCTTGGGCGCCAAGAATTGCTTCCTTCTGGGAGCTGTCACTTAGCTTATTTTCGCTCAAGGCTGGTGGCTGGAGCCACTAGCACCACTAGAGGATTTTTGGTGTTTAATTGGAGATAAAGAGTCTCAAGGGCTTTCCTGCCCAGGCTAGCTTCAAACCATAATCCTCAGATCTCAGCCTCCCTGGTAGTCAGGATTACAAGGGGGTGAGCCACTGGCACCTCTCAATCAGCGTGGTTAACTTTCTTAAAGAGTTTAGAGCCTGTTTCCCCCAGTGGTTGGAAGGAAAGGATTCAGAGGGCCCCTGTCAGCCCCGCTGCAGGCAGAAGAGCCTGCCTTCCCACCCTAAGTGGGAAGAAAATGGCCCAAAAGTCTTTGCATCCATGCTTTGCACACGCCCCCCCCCCCAATCTCCTGCAGGTTGCTACTATGAGGCTGAATGAGAACACCATGCTTCTGGGAAAGAGGGTAGTCCTGGTACCCTACACGTCTGAGCATGTGCCTAGGTAACCTCCCACCTGGGGCGGGGTGTGTGTGTGTGTGTGTGTGTGCAATTGTAGTTCCATACAGGGTTGCTAGTTCCCCAGTGCATAGTGAAGAGGCCCTCCTTAGCACTGTGTAAACTCAGAGGTAGGACTAACTCCTGTATGTTTCCTCTGTGAAGAAGAAACATACAGGAAAAAATGAAGCTGAAGTGGAAGATTATAGCCTCTGGGAATAAGTCACCCCACTCCTTAGTATTTTTTCCTCTCATTCTTCAACCATTTTATGTCAATTAAATATATGCAGGAAAGCAAATAAATAAAATTGTGTTCCCACCTAACTGTAAGTAAGTGACCTTCCCTGATGTCAGTGAATAATCTCAGTTCTTGGAGATTTAATATTTGTCTTGAAAAGATCAGCTGATGATTTTTGTTGTTACTGTTTTGTGCTAGTGCTGGGACTTGAATTCAGGGCCTTGTACTTGTTTGGCTTTTTCACTCCAAGGCTGGCACTCTACCTCCTGGGCCATAGCTCCACTTCTGGTTTTTGGTGGTTAATTGGAGATGTGTCTCACAGACTTTTCTGCCTGGGCTGGCTTTGGACTGTGATCCTCAGATCTCAGCTGAGCCACTGGTTGCTAACCCAACCCAAATGGGCTATTTTGATGTCTCCTGCCTGAAAGGTGGGAATTGAGTCAGTCACAGGATGGTCTTCTTTGCAGTTGGCAGATGTCTGGTAGATTGCAAAAGTGATGGTATAGAGGAGTGTTTTTTGTTTTTCCTTTTGAGGTCCTTGTCAATCTGTCTTTGCGGAGATCTGTCATCTTTCTTTGCTGAGATCAGTTGGCCCTCAGGCATTTGAGGAATGCCTGGTTTCACACTGCTCCTCCACACTGACCCCTGAGGCAGAGTGGGAAGCCAGGCAGATTGAACTGTCCACTCTAGCCGTTCTCTTGTAGAACTAACCTTCTTCAGGTCTTGTGTCTGTGGTCTTGTCTTAGGTACTGCATGTGTAAGGCCAGTCCTTTGCTCCTGCAGGTACCATGAATGGATGCAGTCAGAGGAACTGCAGCGTTTGACTGCCTCTGAGCCACTGACCTTGGAGCAAGAGTATGGGATGCAGCGCAGTTGGCGGGAAGACACGGACAGTGAGGATCCGAGGCCTTGGCCTGTTGGTGGGAGGGCTGACTCCAAACTCCAGTTTCCCTTCTTTCCTCACCCACAGCTACAGTGCTGATGGGGCCACAAAAGCATTATGAAGGTGCTAGAAACCCTTCAATTCTCATGCTATCTGAAGTGCTTATAGATGACCCTTCTGCCCTCTTCCCTGAGCAGTTACCTGGCTTGCATTTAGAGACTATAGCATTTGACAGTGCAAATGTTAATTTAGGCCCTGCCCTTATGTCTCTTGCTGTAGTGTGGTTACTGTTCTTCACGTCTGGTGCTTTTGTATGTTTGTGCATGTGCACATGTGCTAACACTGGGACTTAAGCTCAGGGCCTGGGCACTGTCCCTTAGGGTTTTTTTTGTTTTGTTTTGTTTTGTTTTTGCTCAAGTCTGGCACTCTACCAACTGAACCGCTTTTTGCTAGTTAATTGGAGATAAGGACCTCACAGACTTTCCTGCTTGGGCTAGCTTTGAATGGTGATCCTCATTTCTCAGCCTCCTAAGTAGCTAAGGTTACAGTACCGGCATGAGCCCCCACTGTCTGGCCCCTGGTTTTCATAAGTACAGATGCTCTATGGAGAAGCCAGTCTCAGATCAAAGGCACAATAGGAACTTTAAAATGAGCTGAAAGCAGCTATGGATCCCTTTTCTCCTGCCGTGCACAGAGACCGTGGTGTCCTGAGCACCATGCCCGCCTCTCTTTTCTGGGGGATGCAGGTGGTAACCCTGTTGTCTCCTCCTTAGAGTGTACCTTCATTGTGCTGGATGCGGAGAAGTGGCGGGCCGGGCCAAGCCCCTCTGAAGAGAGCTGTATGACCGGAGATGTGAACCTCTTCCTCACGGACCTAGAGGATCCCACCTTGGGGGAGATTGAGGTCATGATTGCAGGTTAGTTCCACTGGCCCAGCCTTTCCCCCTGGTCCTCAGCTCTGCTAGGCCTTAACCTCTGAGAGCTCAGTCAGAAGCTCCACGTTGGTGAGCCAACTCCTGCTAGGGCAGCATTCTCCTTCCCTGCCATTCCCCCACAGCCCACAGCCCGGTGGTCCACCCTGGGCTTCTCACTTAGGCTTTGGTATGAAATCATTGTTTTGTGGATTCTTCAAAGATCCATCTTTAATCCAGGCGCCAGTGGCTCACACCTGTAATCCTCACTACTCAGGAGGCTGAGATCTGAGGATCATGATTCAAAGCCAGCCCAGGCAGGAAAGTCCATGAGACTCTTATCCCTAATTAAGCACCAGAAAACCAGAAATAGAGCTGTGGCTCAAGAGTGTTAAGGGCACTAGCCTTAAACAAAAAGAGCTCAGGAACAGCACCCAGGCCCTCAGTTCAAGCCCTGTGACCACCACCACCACCACCAAATCAGTCTTTAGAGCTGGCAAGGGACCCTGCAAAAATAAATGATCTTTTTTGGAGCTGCCTTGTTGTGGAATGATCCCTGAGCCCCTTCAGTTTCTGCATCTTAATCCTCAATCATCCTGGAGTCACTGTTGCCTTGAGGCAGTCAGGTCAACTTTGAGTGAGCTTATAGGTTGCAAGCCTGGAGCCTTGGGGTGCAGCACTTCTTCCGTGTGCAGAATGCTCATGGTAGTACCATCCTCACTGGTGCCTGGCTCCTGGTGCCAGCCATAGTGCTTTCTTCTAGAGCCCAGCTGCAGGGGCCGGGGTTTGGGCACAGAGGCTGCTCTTCTAATGATGTCCTATGGTAAGAAAATCTGAACAGACTGGGGCAGGATGGGGGTGGTGGTGGAGGGAGAGAAGGGAGGACACAGAAGGAAAAGAATGATCAGGCTTCAGCTGAGCCTGCTTCAGGCCTGAGTCTGGAGGCAGGTGACTTAAAAATGGGGACAGAAAGGGTGAGGGGTTAGTAGGGGATTTCATCCTGCTTCTCTCCAACACCACTAAAGGAGTGACCAAGCTAGGTCTCACCACATTTGAGGCTAAAATTGGGCAAGGAAATGAACCCAGCATCCGGATGTTCCAGAAGCTTCACTTTGAGCAGGTAGGGACATAAATGGGAAGTTCTAGGTCTAGGTGGTGGGGCTAGAAGAGGGTTTTGGTGGACCATGCTCTCTGACTCCCACAGGTGGCTGTGAGCAGCGTCTTCCAGGAGGTGACACTCAGACTGACAATGACCGAGCCTGAGCGGCAGTGGCTTCTGGAGAAGACCAGCTACGTGGAAGAGAAGCCTTATAGAGATGAGCTGGCAGAGCCCCACTGACAGCCATCCATGAGAGTGGGGTATTGAAGCCATTATTCCAAAGACCAGGGCCTGCACGAGGGTTCTATTCCGGTGTCTTTGGTCCTGCGGCAGCTGGCAGTCACCTCTCTGGGCTTTTCCAGGGCAATCTCTGCCTGGCAGTGCTGAGCAACTCACTTCTAGATGGGACTCAAGACTCACTGGGGTAGCTGGCAGGAATCCATCCAGGCCATCAGGGTGGAAGGGGGAGTGGGAGGGGCTGGGGAACAATGGGGCAGGCCTTTCTATAGGGATGTCCTGGCTGAGTAAAGCACTTAGGTTGGCCAGCTTCCTGGTTTCCTTTCTGTTTGTGCTGGCACTGGGGCTTGACTCAGGGTCTCACATTCCTGCTTTTTTTTTTTTTTTTTTCCTTTCAAGGTTAGCCTTCTACCATTTGAGCCACACTTCCACTTCTGGCTTTTTGTTGGTTGTTTGGAACCATGATTTTTTAGATCTCAGCCTCCTGAGTGGCTAGGATTATAGGCCTGTGTCCCAGCCTGTCTTCCCTCCTTTTCTCATTCAGCTCAAGCATTGGGAAAGAAGTTGCTGGAGCCCATTCTCAGTGCCAGTCCCATGCAGGTGGAGGAGGTGTGAGATGGCAGCTCAATCGTGTTGTCAGTGATAGGTCAGTGTGACCCAGAGGCTTGATCCTGGAAGGACAGGTTGACTTGGTGAGGGCAGTGAATAGCCCAGCCCCTCTGCCCGATGCACTTTCCTCCTCTTTGGAGCCTGATGGCACTGAGTGAGGTCATAGGGGAGTTTCAGATACAGCTTGCATCTAGGGGCCATACCTATTGAGGAAGCTCAGAGCGTGCTGTGGGCAGAAGCAGAGGCCTCTGTGGTCCCCTCCTGGAGAGGACCTCCCTGCCTTCTGTCCCTTCTCTGGGCAGCTTCTCACTCTACTTCGGCGGCAGCTGCATCCCACCTGGCCACAAGAGGGCAGTGGAGGCACAGATTTGAGAGGGCCCAGGGGCTGGCACGATCTTGTAACAGGGAGAGCTATGCCAGGTCCCCCTCTTGGGGGAACACACCTTGACACCTAACCGTTCTTCCTGCCATCTAGGATACCCTGGAAGACCATGTATGTTTCCATGGAAACGAGTCTTGTAGGACATTTTGCAGGTGGGGGGGGGGCTGGTCTTGGGGCTTGAACTCTGGGCCTGGGCGCTGTCCCTGGAGCTCTTCAGCTCAAAGCTAGGGCTCTACCACTTGAGCCACAGTGCCACTTCCAGTTTTCTGGTGGCTCATTGGAGATAAGAGTCTCACAGACTTTCCTGCCTGGGCTGGCTTTGAACTGTGATCCTCAGATCTCAGCCTCCTGAGTAGCTAGGATTACAGGCCTGAGCCCAGCTTGTAGGACGTTTTTTGGGAGGGAAACAGACCCAGACAAGGTGATTTGTTTTGCCTCCCAGCCCCCACCCGGCATCTCACACCCGACTGAAGTGAACACTGGGATCTAAAAGCCTGCCTCTAAAGTGGAAGATCTGCTTGTTATGGTGCCCTCTGCATCTGCTCAGGAATTCCCCAGCCAGCTGTCCCTGTCTGCAGTGTAGTGCTTCACCCGGCAGGTGGGGTCGGGAGGGGCCACTCAGAGCCCCGGAGGCCTGTCCCCCTTCCACCAGTGTGGGAGCCTCCTCCAGGAGTCAGAGAGTACTGGGATGAGGGCAGGCCCTGCCCAGCTCAGCAGGGCACAGAACGATGAGTGCTGAGATAGGGCTCTCGATGGGTCCTTTCAAGGCTGATGGAATCTAAACTAATGAGCCGAGAAGGCCAGATGGTGACTGGCCCTTCTCTGAACCCTCAGGGCTCCACCGTTCCTCTCCCTGATCCGCTATCTTTTTAAGTTGTTCTCAGTGCAAGAACCTGGTTTTGAGTGTTCTCGTAGGCTGGGAAGAGAGGAAGTAGTCTGGGACCAACTTCCCTTCCTTCTCCTTGAGTACCTGCCCTGGAACCTCCGGCTTTTGGCAGGGCACCCTGGCACACCTCCAGGATGCAGCTTCAGGGACCTGGGGCATTTCACCTTTGCAAAGCCCCTTCCATCCCACATTGCCACACAGCATCCACTGAGGCCCAGGATACGCTGTGTTTGTTTTCCTCCATGCTGAACCATGGCCCTCCAGTCAGGCCAGTGGCCAGCATATAAAGTGCCAACATAGCCTGCTTCTAGAAATCTGCACTCTACTAGCAGGGGCAAGAGTCCTCATATTCTCAACCCAGCTCCACTCTAGGATTTATACTTCCTCTGTAAGCACGCAAGCCTCAGCACCCATTCCTCACTATACCCATAAACACCCCTACTGCGTGGGAGACCCACACACATTGTCACAATGAAACTGTGCTAAGCTCACAGAGCTGGGAGGAGCCTGTTCCCTGCAGGGCTCCCAGGCAGCTGGGTCCCAAGCCTTCTGGCAAAAGCTATGCAGGCTTGGGGCTGCAGGGAGCCCTAGATGGTTGTCGGGTAGTGTGCCCTGCCTGCCCTCCCATCCAAAGGCTCCCTGGCAATAACTCATGATTTCCCACAAGGCTTCAAAGGAAGACACAGAGGCTGATGCAGTTTGGAGCAGCTGAATTTCTGAAGATGTTTCCTTACAGTGGTGGTGCCTGGTTCAAGGATAGGCAGGGGCATCCAGGCCTGCCCGTGCCACCTACGTCTTAAAAGATGGAAGTAGAAACACAAATTTAAGGCTGAGGCTGCTACCACACCCTAGGTGAAGCAGCCAGGAAAATAATGAGACTCAAGTGACACCCCCTCCCCCCAACATGATACTACACTTAAAAAAAAAAAGCCCAGGCCACAGCTCTCAGGGTACTGGGGCCTGGTCCACTGTCCGTGGTGACTGCTGCCATCGGCTTCCAGACCCAATCATGACGTGGGCCTCCTGTCTGACCCCACCAAGATCTTGCTTGCTGTAGATCCCAGAGATGTCCCAGATGGGGTGGCAAGGATAAAGCCCTCAGGGAGAAGCTGGGGACAGAGTCTGCTTTTTGATTGGGACAGGACAGGAAAAACATTCACCTTCCTCAAGGTATGATATGGGAAGAACAAAGTTTCTAGAGCAATCAGATTCATCAAGAAGGGAGATGCTGGTATTGATTGGAACGTTGATTTGGTGGGCACTGGGGAGGAGGGAAAGGGAGCTAGGGTGGGCGGGCGCTGGCTTAGCTCTGGTCAGCTGGGCACTCAGAGGTTGCTGAAGAGTTCATTTTTCTTGCTCCAGTCCATCTGTGGGGCCCGCTTGCTGCTGCGCTTCTGGTGGGCCCTCTCTTTGGCCACAGCCAGGGAGATGTTGAAGTCCAGGATGAGGTCAGAGGAGGAGGTAGAGGAGGGCTCTGTGGCGTCCTGTTTCTTAGGGCTGTCTTGGGAATTGAGCTATAAAAGGAGGGAGACACGTTCAGGACTTGGTGCCTGCTGAGGTTCTCCGATCCTCAGGCCCTGGTGAGGTGGCTCCCTTGGGGTTATGCCCAGGAAAGCCAGGTCACAAGGACAGAATGTGCCTCAGCATGTGACCTCAAAGGCAGGCTAGTGTGCCAGGAACCAGCGTGGCCTGGGAATGGGCCTCCTGTGACCCAGTCCCCAACCCCCACCAGGCCGGCCTACCTCCTCACTGGTATCGCTGGAGGTGGATCTCGCCAGGGCTGGCCTGGGGCTCTCCGAGACGGCCTCTGCCAGGGCTTCACTACTGTTTGCCTGGCACAGAGATGAGAGGTGTGGGTTGGTGGAGAACAGGGCAAGAAATTCTTGGGACCCGGCAAGCTAGAGAACCTCAGCCTGAGAAAATGCTATTCAGGCCTTGGCCATCCACCCAAATTCCAGATTTACATTTTGACATTCCTTAAAGGATCAGAGAGAGGGCTGGCCTGCTTCCGTCAGTCACTTGGTGGGTGAGGGTGGAAGCCCGAGGTGGGATTAGCAGAACTGTTCTGTCCTCATCCTCTATCCCATGGCTTTGGGGCACAGATTCACCTTTGGAGTCGGTGACCCATGGCGGGAACACCAAGCCTTCTGCTTGGTACTGGGGACACAGGTGGTGTCCCCAAACCTCCTGAGCCCTCTGTAAATTTTAGCCCCAAAGCAGTCAAGCAGGGCCTTGAAGGAGTAAGATGGACAGATAGTTCTAGACCCACGGATGGGATGACAGAAGGGTCAGACTTTGGCCGTAGGACCTTCTCTCCTCAGGCACCCCCCCACCCCAGCACAAGCCTCTGAGCCACCCATGCAGACTCCCACTCCTGTAGCCTCGCTCCAAGCTGGCCCATCCCGGAGCCAAGGCCTTGGCTGGGGCATCAGTGTGGTGCTCAGTCCCTTCCTGGGTCCCTCCATAGCTTTGGCTGGCACATGGCTTCAACCCTTCTCTTCTGCTTCGGAGGAGGGGCTTTGTTCTAACTCAGACTGGAAGTAGCAGGGCTGGCAGCGTGGCCAGACACTGAGGCTCTGTTCTTGGGGGGAAGAATAGCCTCTTCTGTAAGTGGGGAGGTGGAGGCGGGGCTGTCACCCAGGATGGGGCCACAGAGAAGCCCAGCCAAGCCTCTCCCTTACAACAGCTTTGGCCCTTGATGGGCTGGGGCAGGGGCTGGGGGACTCCTATAACTTGGAGCTCAGGAAGGAGCTGGAACTGGGCCTCGAGGTTTTGGCCCAAGCCAGAAAGCAGTCTTTCCAACTATACCATCTTCCTGAACAGCACCCCTGAAATTAGAAGCCAGAGAAGGAAATTAAGAGGATCACCCTTACCTTCTGTATCTCACCATTAGTGAAGGGTTCAGGCAAAGGGCCTAGGGGAGAGAGAGAACAGAGGTGAGTCCAAAATCCTGGGGAGAGTCCGGGTGCTAGTGGCTCATGCCTATAATCCTAGCTACTCAGGAGGCTGAGATCTGCGGATCATGGTTCAAAGCCAGCCCAGGCAAGGAAAGTCTATAAGACTCATCTCCAATAAACCACCAGAAAACCTCAAGTGGTGCTATGGTTCAAGTGGTAGAATGCTAGCCTTGAACTGAAGAGCTCAGGGTCAGTACCCAGGCCCAGAGTTCAAGCCCCACAACTGACCAAAAAAAAATCTTGGAGAGAGGGGCATGAAGCGAGGAGGCCAGAGCTCCAGCTTGAGTGGACAAACCATCAGCTCTCACGCCCAAAGCCAGTGGTAAAAACTTTTTTTTTTTTTGCCTGCAAGTACATTTGACATTTTGATGGCCCAGTACACACAAAGGCTGTGTGTATGACAAGTTTCAGAAAAACAACACTTACCCTTAGTGCAGTGCAATGCTCCTAGATATTTTCTATTAAATTTTACTTAATGTATTGCTCTCTATCTACCAAACTGATCTCAGAAGTCACTGATGGCTAATAAGCTGTTTGAAAGTAATTGTCCTTGAGGGGCTGACGTTCCAGGCTGGCCGCCTAATTCTTCCCAGGAAAGTCATTACAAAAGGCTGCTGAAGCCTGCCTAAGCCTCAACATTTTCAGATATACCCTTGTGTGATAATGATATGACAACAGATTTGAGGCCACACCCCAAATTATAGTTGGTACCTGTTGCCTCAGACAGAGAGAAAACAATCCCAAACCTCTATGTGCCATCTGGAATGAGGACGGAGAGGCTCAGGGGCAGGATGCCCCTCCAGCCAATCAGAAACTTGGTGAGGGCAAGGAAGAGGGAAAGATGGAGGCCGGAGGGACAGAAGCCACTTGGGGCTTGGAGGGGCTGTTCTACCTCCAGGAACCAGTCAAGCTGGGTAGGTTTCTTCTGAACTCTTAGCTTATAATTCACGTGCATCTCCTCTTGTCTGCTTGACCCCAGTTCAGGACACAGCTAGATAGAACTGACTCATCTTTTCCTCCCTTCTGACATTCCTAGCTTTCCATGGCCAGGGGGTAAGGGAGTTCTGATGACCCCCTCCCCCACCTTCCAGCCCTCTCCCTGGGCGGATGCTCTGGCCAGAGCTTCCATCTCCAGCCAGAGAGACTGATGGAAGAGGGAAGACAACCCCAACCCGAGGGTGAGGGCGAAGGGAAGGAAGTGTGCTAAAGGAGGCTAGGGATAGTAGTTGAAGATGGGAGGCAGGGGATGGTGTCTGAAGAGCTCGGTAGAACCCAGACTTCAGTTCTGTACCAGGTTCCCAGGAACAAGGCAGAGGTTTGTTGGGCCCCAGGTTCCTGGGCCGAATGGGGGTAGGGCTGCCCACTGGGCCCCTTGAACAGGGTGGGGAGGGGCAGATTTTAGTCATGTGGACCCCCCTCCTACAAATAGAACCCTGACCCTCGGGAAGGCCCCACCCATTACAAAGTCCCAAGAGTGATTCACTCTCAGTGTTGTCAGCAGGGATTCTGCCTCCCCTCCCACACCCCCTCCCCCTTGTGGAACTGTCTTCCCAGGAGAAAGTCCACACCGGGGAGTAGAGGCCATTTAACCCCTCCCAGCCTGGAGTAGCAGCCCTGCCCCCTCTGGCTCAGCCTGGGCAGGGGGAGGTGACAGACTTGGCAGGGGCAGAGGGAGGGGGAGGGCGTAGTCAGGGGCCCAGTGACCAAAGGGGCACCCACTGCTCTCCAGAGCCAGCAAGCCTGAGTTTCCAAGACAACCTGACAGAAGGACAGAGGGAGGCAATAGGGCCCCATCAGTGGACTCTGATCGGCCCAGCAGAGGCTGGAGGCTGTCCAGAGTTAACCCTTTCCTTGCTTGGGAAGGAGAATCTGCTAGGGACAGGGAGGGAGATTGGGGCAGCTTCAGCTGGAGATTAGAAACTGTCCTATCCCTCTACCAGGTGACTGTCCTCACAGGCCACCGTCAGAAAGCACTGCCCCCCCACTTTCTCTCTTCACTGGGCCCTTCTCCACCAACTCACACTTGCTTGATTTCTCCAAAAGGAGAAGGAGGGAGAGCCCAAGCCAGGAAGCCATCTCCCCCTGACCACATCTGAGACACTACAAAGGCTCGTGCACCAGCCACATCCCCAGGGCTTTGGGGCACCGGGCCGAGCACCCCACTCACCATTCAGATGCTCCTGAGACGGGATCACTTTGCACTTCTTGAAAAACTCGTCCGTTTCCTTGTCTACCACCAGCAGCTTGGCCTGGTCGCCTCCAGCCTTGATGGCAGACACCACGTCCCCGTGCTGTTTGCCCTCCATGCAAACTCCATTCACCTGTGGGACACAGCAGGCCAAGACAGAGTTTTCCCAGCATAGGTCTCAGCTGTGGGGAGGAGGGCCTGCCTGGGGATGCTGCACGCCCCCCCCCTTGTCCCAAACTAGGCCAAAGGTCCTGCTTGACAGTCAGCTGGGAGCCAGGACGGGAGGACACAGCCAAAGAAAATATGGAGAGACTACACAAACACAGCTGTGAGAGACAGGAGGCCTGGGCTGGGCTTTCTTCTGGTTCTTCCCCCTACCCTCAACGGGGCCTTGGTTTTCTCACGTGTAAAATGAGAAGTCTTGGGAGAGTTGATCCCAGCTCTGAGGTTCTCAGACTGTGATTCTGGGACCAGCCCAAGCATTCCATTCACATTTCCTCTCCCCTCAGCACAGTCCAAGGGCACAGAGGGAGTTTCTCAAAGCAAGAGAGGGGATTTGATTTACACACACACACACTCAAAGCAAGAGAGGGGATTTACACACACACACACACACTCAAAGCAAGAGAGGGGATACACACACACACCCCTCCCTCTGGCAGCACACTCAAAGCAAGAGAGGGGATACACACACACACACACACACACACACACACACACTCCCTCCCTCCATCCCTCCCTCCCTCCGGCAGCAGGGAAGCCCCTGGCATCTACTTGAATTGAGAGAGAAACTATGGCTCTGGAGTAGTCTGCTCAGTGAAGAGCCCAGGACAGAGATGGTCGGAAAAAGTCAGCCTATCTGTGTGCCCATCCAACACCTAGCCCTCTTCCTTTCTCCTATTCATTGCCTGGCCCACTCACCCTCTGAGCTGTCTATGTCCCTCTGTCCATCTCGGAGCTGACTATGACCCATGGCCTTAATGGGCACTAGAGGAGTAATGGCTGTCCAGAGGTGGGTGGGAGTGGGGGCTAAAGATCAGGAAGTGAAGCACCTGAAAGGATCTGGGGAAGAGGGCAAGAGCATTACCTCCACAATGCGGTCCTGGGCCCGGAGCCCAGATGCCTCAGCTGGTGAGTCTGGGTCCACTGCCCGGATGAACTGGCCTGGCTTGGATTTGTCACTGTGCAGGTTGAAGCCGTAGCCGTTGGCACCTTTCTTCATGGTGCAGAGCCGAGGCCGAAGCTCACGCTGTAGAGATGAAGGAGGATACATGCCATTCTGCAATGCCCATGTCCTCTGCTTCTCCCTGCCCCCCACATGACCCTGTCACCCCAACTCTACCAGGAAGGATTTAGCATGCTTTGCTCCTGGCCAGCATTCAGAAGACCTGGTTGGACACTAGCATTGCATCAAATTGCTTGAGTGGCCCTGAATGGGACACTGTCCCTTCCAAAGGTCAATCTGGTGAGAGGTGGAAGTTTTGCTACAAACCCCTTCTCCTTGACATTGTAAGGTTTATCACATGTTATCTTGGGTCTTAGTCTTCCTTCCCAAAGGCTCATCTGGCCCTCCTGGGGGCTGGGGGAGGGGGGGAGCAGAACCCTGACAGCTTAGCTGGGTACAGGAGTAGGGATCCTAGCCCTAGGTTTCTTTCCTTTTATTCTGGAATGTTTCAGTACTGTGGCTTGAACTCAGGAAATAGTTGCTGTTCCTTAGAGTGTTTTTTCAAATATATTTTTATTATCTTTAGGTAATTAAACAAAGGAATTTGCATTCAAGAAAGCAGTTTATGAATAAATGCATCCTGATCACTGTCACCTCTATCAATTCTCACCCATTCCTCTTTTTTATGGGGGGGGGTCACCCATTCCTCTTAACTCACCCTTTCCTCACTTTCCTTAATTTTGATGGATACACATCACATTTTTGACTGCATTCTCCCTGTTCCTTAGCTTTTGGCTCAAAGCTAGCCCTGTTTACTTGAGCCACACCTCTACTTTGGGCTTTTTGCAGGTTAACTGGAGATCAGAATCTCACAGGCTTTCCTGCCTAGACTGGCTTCAAACATTGATCCTCAGATCTCAGCCTCCTGAGAAGCTAGAGTTACAGGTATGAACCACTGGCGCCCGGCTGACCCTAGCCCTTGGTATCTGTTCTCTGGGTTGGCAGATGTTTACCAAAAGCTGGTCATCATGTTTACAGTAAAGACATTGCTCAGCCACAGGCTCCCTCTTCCTTCCAGTGAGCCAAATGGCCCAGCCAGAAGGGAGCCACATAATCTGAAACCTGTTGGACAACACAGCAGGAGGGCCGGGGCCAGACAAAGCCATCCTCAGGAACACTATACCCAGCTGAGATCCTGTCATGAATCCTGAGGCTTTTGTCACAAGCCCTATGTTCATTTCTCCTGAGCATGCTGACAACACTCAGCTGCAGAAGTTTTTCTACATCCCCAATTGAAGACAGCTTAGCTCTGCCTCAGCCCTGGAACACCTACATATAGAGGCAAAGAGGAGCACCAGTGGGGCGGCTGGAGGCCTGTAATCCTAGTTACTCAGGAGGCTGAGATCTGAGGATCCCAGTTCAAAGCCAGCCCAGGCAGAAAGGTCTGTGAGACTCATCTCTAGTTAACCAGCAAAAAACAAAAAAGGAAAGGCGAGCTGTGGCTTGAGTGGTAGAGTAGAAGTCAGAACATGAGTGCAAGCCCTAGTACCGCTAGCCCAGAATTGACATCCCCACCTGCCAAGCAACAAACGCTCTTGTTTACTAGTGTGCGACCTGGGGCAAGTCATTTCCTTCTAGGAGCCTCAGGGCTCTCATTTATATACAGTCCATTCTTCCGGCCACCTGCCTCTTGCAGGGTTGCCGAGAAGCGCAGTGAGATAATTACAGAGTGGAAACACTTTGGGATTGTAAGTCCCTGTGTATGCCTGGACTTGGCCATTGTCCTTACTGACTGGGCAGGAGCTGGGGGTGAGGAGGGTGGTGTGCCAGGCTGCCCTGAAACCCAAATCACCAGCAGGGAGTAGAGGAGGCAAGGGAGGGCTGGGAAGGAGGAGGGAAGGCTTCAGGGCGTCCTGCCCCAACTTGCCAGTCCCAGAAGGCAGCTGCCACCTGTGGGAAATGGGGTCCCTCCCCTTTCCTTGGGGGACGGGGTGGAGAGGGAGACTTTTCCTTCCTTGAAACAGCTTTTGTGGCAGCTTCAGGACATTGGTGAGGGGATGCTGCACAGAGACAGGACAGAGAGATGATGGTTGGGACTTGTCCCAGCAGTCACTTGCCCAAATCTGGACGAGGGGTCCCTCATCTCCATAACAACTAAGTCAGCATGCATCTATAGGTATTGTCTCTTCCTCCAGGGGCTGCTGGAATACACAGAAGCCCCCAGATTCTCTGTTACAGAGGGCTCTTCCTGCAGCTCCCCCCTCCCCAAAACATGCTCTGGTCTGAGATTTAGTTGGAAGAGTGAGGAAGCCTCTTCTCCCAGCTAATCCTTTGCTCTCCCTCCAGTTGCCCAGGTGAGCAGGAACAGGTCTGACCAGTTACCACCACCGGGACAGGTTCAGCTTTCCAACCCCAGCCATACTGAGCTCCCCAAAGCAGGGGCCTTCACCCTGAGAAAGTGTGAGGGTGAAAGGCAGCAGACTGGTGGCAGGAGCTCCAGTGCTGTTCCTCTCCAGCCTCCCCTACGGTACCTTCCTCTAACCTTCCCGCAACAGCAACCTGGCTAGGGTTTCTCAGCTCCATGTTTTGAGCTGGGGGGTAGGGGTGGGGGGAGAGGGCGAGAACTGAGGTTCAGAAGCCCACTGCCTCATATCACACAGCCAGAGTCTAGGTCTCTGACTTGGAGCCCTGCTTCTGTCGATACACTGTGGGCTGCTGTGTGTGTGTGTGTGTGTGTGTGTGTGTGTGTGTGTGTGTGTGTGTGTGGATTCAGGGTCTCAAATATGCTAGCTCTAGGTGCTCCACCATTTCAGCCATTCCATGTGGACTTAGATCTGGAATGCAGCAGATCCCAATGGAACTCTTCCTGCAATGGCTGCAGCCCTGCTGGGAGCTGTAGAAATCACAGCCTTCCTTCCGGGTCTGTGCTAGCCTGGGCAGAGGACCTGGGTGCTGGGCAGTGAGCATGCCTGGGCTAGTGCTGTGGCTAGAAGCAGGCTATCGGTGGGGGTGGGCGGTTCTAGATGCTCCCTGGCTGGCAGGGCCAGGTCAGCAGCCCACGTGGGGCCAAGCGTTTGGCCCAGGTCTCTGTGCTGCTTCACTTACAGTACCTCAACCCCTTGCTTAGTGACTGACGTAGGTCATCCAAATTCAAAGACCTGCTTTACACCTTCTGCCATGTGAGGATCGGGAGACATGGGGGGCTCAGGAGCCCACTGGTGACTGTGGAGACTTCAGGGCCTGACCTAGGGGTGGCAGGACAGGAAGCCCCAGGATCCAGATGCTGACAGAGCCTCAGCTAGCCCCTCCCTTCCAAGTCCTAGGAGGCTCCTGGCCTCGGCAAAGGGCCGAACACTCCCAGGAAGACCAGCCCAGCCTGGCCCAGCCGTTGCTGAGTCAGCTTATCAGCTGGCCCATCCCCCGTGCCTAAGGGCAGGTCCCTGGGAACCTGTGGGGGCCTGGCCTTGGTTCCCAAGCCTAGCACCCAGAAAAGGAGTTGGAAAGGGGGGGGATGTGCCTGGAGGAGGTAGGCTACCATTGCTCTGGGTCCTCAACCCCACTCACCCTCCCTGGCTGGAACGGGGGCTTGAGTTCTGCATCTGGGGAAAAACCTATAAATGGGGACAAAGTCCAAGCCATCTTGGACTTTACATGCAGCCCCCAAGAACTCAGAAAGGGCCTCCTGCTTTAGCATCAGCTCCAGAGGGGTGCACAGTGTGGGAGGTACAAGACTTCAGGAGAACCAGGCCCTAGGGTTTATGCAGAACCTGCCCAATGAGCTGACAGGGCTCAAAGCAGAAGCAGGATCTGCTCAGAGATGACACTGGCAAAGACCCAGAAGCAGCAGGAGGAGGGGCAGCAGGTAATAGTGGCCCAGGGCAGTGAGCATGCTGGGACTAGGTCAGTGGATTCAGGGGCTCAAGACTCACTTTCAGGCACTACCCAGGAAGAGTTGCCTCCAGACCCTCCTCATAGGGTTCCTCCCCAGCCAAGTTCTCTAGCTGTCCCTTCTCCTCACCCCCCCCCCAGCCTGGGAGCCCCACCCCAACTGGCCGCCCCATCACCTCCACCCACGCTCCACAGCCCAGGGAGCGGACAGCGGGCACGGAATTCAATAGGTGCCACCAGCAGCCACCTGGAAAGCTGGAGAAAGCTGATACCCTAATCCCGGTGACATCTCTGGGGAGCAGGGCTGTTTGCTCCCTGCTTCTCCTAGGAGGAGGGCTGCAGGTGGCCAGGGGACCAACGCCCCAAAGGACCCAGCCTCCTCCTGACTGATGCCCTGGCGATGAGCCTAGAGAAACCACCGGACAGCTTCCACCATTGCTAGGAAGGCCAGGTGGCTCTAGGCCCCCAAAGGGGATGGGCTGGGGGCGGGGGGGGGGGGGGGGG